CAGCACAGGCCATGGAGGTCCAGCCTGGAACCCCTGAGGCTACCTCCTTCCCTTCCTCAGCCCACGTCCCGGCTTCCTGGGCCAGCGGAACCTACCAGGAGGCGCGGCCCTGGCCCACCTGGCCTGGTCCTTCTGTGGCCTATGCATGGTCTGCGCACTCTCCAGGGTGCGTGGGTGCCTTTAGGGCCTGGCAGGGTGGACCCAGCCTGGGTATGGGTGGGAAGTGCAGCCAAACCTCCCAAGGGGTAGCTTCTTAGGACCGAGACTCCTGCTCCCCTGGGTCCCAGAGGAACATCCAAGGGTAAGCAGTTACGTGTCTATGCACCAGTTCCCTCTAGAACTCTTGTTTGAGTACCCCCTCCCGCAGGCTTTGTGCTGGGTGCTGGAGACACAGTGGCGAGCCCATAGACATCCATCTCCAGCCCTTACGGGAGGAGGGAGAGCCAGGACTCCATCAGCCCACAAATGCATGTCACTGGGCGAACGGACACCCGCTCCTTTGTGCGCCTCTCCTCTGGTTCTTTTGATCTCCTGTCGTCTTCTGCTGTCCAGACGGAAGAGGAGAACTCAGCAAAGCTGTCAGTTTCTTGGCTTTTTAATTCAAAACCTTTTTTCCAGGTTTTATCCATCAGGAGAGGCTAGATTACACTGCGATAACATATTAACCCTCATCTCAGGAGCCTAACACAGCAAAGGTTTATTTCCCACTTACCCTAAACCTGCCACGGCCACGGCTCTCCAGAGCAGCTCTCTCATAAGCCGCGGCTCGGGGACCCTGCTGCTGCTTGCTGTGACTTCATCCTTCCCCTCGAAGGGGCAGGGAGCTAGAGAGTGTGTGTAGGCTCTTAAATGCTTCAGCCTCTGAGTCTTGTTTCCACTCACGGGGCGTTGGGCAGAAGAGTGGAGCGCACACGGGCAGGCGGGAGCTGCAGATGGGGATGCGAGGCGCCCAGGCATTGGGAGAGCGCAAGCGTGTCACACCTCCTCCCCGCAGAGTGAAGATTCCCCAGTGTGTGGCAGGCGCAAGAGAGGTGTGGACACACCCCCGATAAGTTCCCAAAGGTGCCAACAGCACCTGAGTGACCAGCCCTGGGGAGCCCCTGAGGAAGAGTCCGCGTTCTGGGCTGTCTTGAGGCCATTCACTGGCCACAGCCAGCATGCCGTCCACAGACCTTCTAGCCCAGTAACTTCTTTGTGTGGGTCAGGGCCCACTTGACCTCACAGAACTGGCTGGTTCTGTTCATCATCCCAGGACCCCGGGGATGGAGGTGTGGGGGGGAGCCCTCTGCACCTGAGTAAGGTGAGTGTCTGCTGGACCTGCCTGAGGTGCTGCTCTGCCCAGCCAGACGGTGGTGGCAAACAGCTCTGCTGGGCGGACTGTGCATCGAGACCAGGGCAAAGGCAGGGATGCAGCTCCATGAGAGGGAGAGGTCAGGGAGGGCCACTGTGACCCTCCTGCAGGAGGAGTAAGAGTTCAGTAGAAAAAGAGGGCAGGGCTGGCAGGAGAGCACACTCAGAGTCCACGAGCGACACTCAGGGGAAGAAGAGGGGCGTAAACTGAGGCTGGCAAGGCGACCGGAGCAAGTGGGCTGTTGCTGTGTCCCGAACAAAGGCTCACATGTGAGTCCTCAAACTGGGACTGCGGCAGCTGGAGGGGGACTGAGACGGGGGGGACGGGGACGAAGAGAAAGCAGCATGGCTCTCCTGGCGGAGCTGATCCCATGGAACCTCCCAGGAACCCTTGGAGATGAGTCTCAGAACCATCTGCCAGGGGAAGGGAAGCCCTTATTGGCTCATCCTGTGTCCTATGGGTCAAGGGCTGCCTCGTGGGGCTTGGAGACCCCTTACTTCTGGACTGTCCACTGGCCAGACCTCTCGATCAGGCTTCGGAAGCCCCCAGGTGGGAAGCTGGAGGCCTTGGCAGAGCACGGCCCTCCCTGGCTGCATCACGGCAGGCACGTGGCACAAGTTGAGGGCTGTGTCCAAACGGGCACACGTTTCTGTGCGAGCTACACAAAGATCTTCTGTCTCCCACCTTGACAAACACATTTCCAGAAGGACTTGGAATGCCAGGTTTGAGTGCAAAACTCTGAGGTGCCCAGGTTCTCACGGCGACCCACAGCGACCCACGCCTCCAGGACAGGCCTGGCTCCAGTGGCCCTTGGGAGAAGTGTGAAGTTGAATCTTCAGGGAGCCAGGGCAGCTCTGTGTCCCTTTGTTTTCATTTCCCTTCATTTTAACTTTTTAAAGGAGATACAGGGGCCGCCTGGTGGCACAGTGGTTAAGTTCACGCACTCTGCTTCAGTGGCCTGGGGTTCACAGGTTCGAATCCTGGGTGCAGACCTACACACCACTTCTCAAGCCACACTGTGGCAGTGTCCCACATGCAAAATAGAGGAAGATTGGCACAGATGTTGGCTCTGCAGCAATCTTCCTCACCAAAAAGACCCAAAAGTCACAGAAAGTTTTGATTAAAACACATCCTTCCAATCCTCTATCCTTGTTTTTGACCCTCCTTTCAGTGTTCTGGACAGAGAGCAGTCTGGTCTGACTTGGTTAACACATTCTCTGTTACTGTTGCTACTTAAATATCGTTTGGCTTTTAACATTTGACAACCATGTAAACTTATTTTGATGCATTCATTATTTTTAATTGCTTTCTGTTTGTCCTAACATTAACTACTGGACAATACTTTAATTCTCCAGTATTTTTAGAATTCTACTAGATGACACAGGGAATTGAAAGGTTATCATCATTCTACGTGGATTGAGTGAACCTGCCAGGATCCTTGCCCTGTCAGCTGTACCAACTCTCCAGTGGGTGATGTGGGGTTCACAGACTCTGACTGTGGCTGGCGCCCCCAGGCCAGGTGGGGTTGCTGTGGCCAAGCTCAGGTAGGCCTGAGAGAGGTCCAGGCTCTCAACATTGTGGCCTGGTGGGGAGACCCACGACAGGAGAAATGCCATCTCCTCAACATATGGGTCCACTGTGTGCTTTGCAAACACAAAAACTCATCCTCGTGCATGGGTCTTACCATAAAGGAAATTTAGTGTGGGGACTGATGCATGCCACACCTCAAACTGGACTGGGGGCAAAGTGAGCACTCCTCTGGACTCCAGGAAAGGGGAAAGAGGGAGACGTGGCCTGGGGCACCTTCGTCTAGACGGTTCCCTCTGTGTGTGTGGTGTAAGGAAGCATCGAAGTTAGCCCGAATCTCAGCTCGGCTGTGTGTAACCCATAACACCTGTGCAGAGCTGCCAGCTCCTCCATAAAGAGCAGAGTCCGGGCAGCGCTGGGCTGCTGCCTGCCTCCCGGCCTGGCTCAGCATTCTCCCAGGAGTGATGAGGTGATGAGCCATGCCCTTGGTTGCTGTAGCAACAGAGATTTCCTGGAGGCAGAGGCTGAGACAGCGAGGCTGCTTTGCTTCCCCTTGCAGGTGACAGAAGAGGCCGCTTCTGGTGCACTCCAGGTCACATCTAGCTGGCGGCCTCACATTGGCTCCTGCCTGGACCCTGTCCTACCCTTCCAGGCATCTTCACCTGCATTTGGCTGCAAGTAACTGAAAACCCTGTAACTGGTACTAAACCAAGGGGTGTCTCTACCCTAGTCAAGCAAAGGCCCAACAGACAGCCCCAAGCTCAGCGCCAGGGTCAGGCGTCCTGCTCTGGCATCCCAAGCAGGCATCTGTGTGCCTCCTGGTAGATAGGGAGTGATGACATCCACAGGCACCACTCTATCCATACCATTTAACTCAGCAATTCAACTTTTGGAAAACCAGCCTGCAGAAAAATTTCCAGCACAGGAGGCTATTTGCTACAATATTGTTGGTTATAGGGAGGGCGGGGACACTGAAACGTTGTGGTGTGCATCAGAACGGCTGAATACATCACGACCCACCCTACATGGTCATTAGCGAAAGAGCCTGTGTCTACCAGTGAACTTGCGAGTCAGCGATGGCACATGGACTCAGTGCAGTGCTCTGCAGGTGTCAGGAGGAGGGCAGGAACACCTTAGCCCTGTCCAGTCACCAAATAGTCGGAAGCAATGTCAGTGCAGCTGTTCCTACACTGCTGTGTGGTTTGTGGGATAAAGGAAGTGATTATTACTACTAGTGTCCTTGGGAAGAGGGGTTTTCAGCATGGAAGGGAAGCGATCCAGATGTGAGTGAGATCACAGAGGTTAAATACAATGCCACAAGCCTGCATTTGAGCTGAAAGTTTCACTATGGACTGTTGATAAATTCTCCCTCATCGAAAGTGTTTCCTAGCTCTGAGCTCTGAACACACTGAGCACATACTAAGTGATTTGGGGGCAGAGGGGCTTTGGAGAAATAGCTAATTCCTGGTCTGGGGTAGGGAGATGCACAAAATGAACCGGCCACATCCTTTCCTATCAGAAAACAAGGAGCTTTCAAACATTCCGGGGGGCACAGCCCCCACACTCAGGAACCTCGCTGAAGAGAGTCCACTGGCCAAAGATAGGCGACTTGAACAATAGGAAATAAGGGAAAATAATTGCAAGGAATTGAGGTACACAAAATGTATCAAATTCCATGAGTCCATAATGGTGCTTAAAAAAATCATTGGTCATCTTTGTGAGATGCTGGTGAAACTGGTGAAACAAAGTGATGGATCTGGGCAATGAACATTGACGATCACTAACATTAAAAAGAGACATAACCAGGTATTATGTGCCCCCTGATGAAAGTAACAACACTACGTGGGAAGTACTCTCGCCAACAATCACACAAACAAACCAAACCTGAGTCTGACTATGACTCTAGCTCCAGCTACCAATTTACAGCAGGGTTGTGATCCCCAAATCCAGCAGAAAACTCTACAGGACAATCCACTTTGTCTCTTCAACAAATAAATTGCACAGAATTGACAGAGTGGGAGGAGCGGAGAGAGAGAAAAGGAGAGGGAGGGAATGTGGAGGGGAGGGAGAGAGAGAGACCAGACAGACAGAGACAGAGAAAGAAAAGGGAGAAAAAGAAAGAGAGAGGGAGAGAGAGGGAAAGGGAGAGAGAGAGGTTAAGAGGGACGTATCAGCAAATGGCAGTGTGTGGACCTGGTTCAGACCTGCTAAATGTACAGTCGGGGGAATTACAACACACACTGCATGTTTGACGGTAATAGGAAATTACTATTAATTTTTTTAGGTGTGATATATTGTGGCTGTTTCTTAAAAATAATTTTATTTTTCAGAGATACATACTGAAATACTACACATGAGATGACATGATGTCTGGGTTTGCTTCAAAATAAGCTAATGTTGGGGAGGAGAAAATGGGTATAGGTAAACAAAATTAACCATGAATTGATAATTTTTGGAGTGAGATTATGGGGACATGAGATTTTATTACACATTTTCTCTAATTTTGTATATGTTTAAAATGTTCCATAATAAAAATTTAACCAAAAGGAGACAAAGAAATATAACACACATTTAGTAAATATTCCTAAAGCCAACACAATTTTAACTGTTGAACTCAGCAAGCCTTTTAAAGGGCACTTGAAAAAGAATACAATAATTAGTAGCATTCTACAATATTTTTCTACAAATTATGAATATACATTTGCAGAAGGATTTTTTAAAACCTATCAATGAGACGCAAGTGGGTTCCTGTGGCTTAGGATGTATTTTCTGGTGACATCACAGATTTTAAGGCTGCTGTATCTCACGATGTGAGGACGATGAACTCTGGAAAAGCGTGTGAAGGACTCCACAATGGCCCTACAGCGATAAGAAAGACATCACACAGTTCCTACGAAATTGCTTCATGGGGAAAATGAGTTAGATTCCCTGTCTGCTGACTTTTAGGGACATCTGTGATGCATTTTTGAAGGAGAAAAGGCATTGCAGAGTGGCAACCATAGCAACATGACTCCAATTTTGTAACATAAACAATCGTAGTATCAGTTACCTCGGGGAAGTCCAAAGGGAGTGGGTGTGCGTGTGTGTGGGGAGGAATATTACCTTTTTCTTTATCCATTTCTGGATTATTTCACATTTTATACTGAGCAGATGGTCTCACCTTGTTGTTAGAGAAAGAAGGAAAGCCATGAGGTAAGAAGTACCATCTCATGCCAACATGAAACACAGGCAAAGGAAATCCACCATCCATCCATCCATCTATCCATCCACCCACCTACCCACCCACCAGCCATCCATCCATCTACATATCCATCCATCCACACACCCACCCATCCATCCATCCATCCTGCCTGCCTGTCTGCCTTGCTTGCCTTTGGTTACAGTGTCATTGAAGGCCACTCTGAATCTGTTTTTGGATGCCTTCCCTTCCCATCTTTTCAAGAACCACAGACACTACTAATTCTCCCCTTTCTTCCTTGTACATTCAATGTTTCCTTCTCGGCTGAATCCTTCCCACTGGCTTTTACACTCTTTAGTTTCTCTCCTTGAAAACCTTTTTATTTATGCCCTCTCTCATCTTTCCTTCACAGCCAAACGCTTCAAAAGCGCTTGCGTGTATGTCTTCACTGCACACTTACTTTTCACTCTCTCCAAGCTGGCTGTACTCCCATCACTCCAGACACAGCGCTCACTGAGGGCCGATGCCTTCCATGCTGCCAGACCTACTGCACACACTTTCTTTCCCATCGGGATCTCTTCATAACAGACAATGCTCTTGGCCTCCTGTGTGAGCCATGTGCCTGGTTGCTTGCAGCTCTGTTCCTTGCTCGCCCCCCTCTGCTCCATATTGCAGGTGCCTGACCCCAGCAAACCACATTTCTCAGGCTCCCTTGCCAAGCGAGTGACTTCCAGTTGGCTAAGGCATTGGGAAGCCCTGGTGGGAGATGAGAAGAGAACAGCCGAAGCCGGGGTGTTTCCCTCTATTTCTACTTCAGGCAGCAGCTCCAGGAGTAGCTGTGTCTCTTCCGTGATCCCAGATAGGTCCCAGTTCTTGAGTGGTCCTCTTTTATGTTTTTTTCTCCTGCTGGGTGACTCTGACTTCAGAATTGTGCAATACAGAGCACAGCAGGGCAAACGTTTTGAGCAACCAGGCACAGGATTGACACAGGGAGCCAACAGTGCTGACCACTGCGGAGGGGTCCAGATGGGAAGGAAAGCATGTGCTTTCATTTGGTAACATGAAAGCCATCTGTGATCTCATCTTCCCTTCATCCCTCTGGCCTTAGGGTGGTGTCAGCTTGCCGTCTGCTGCTGGTCTCTAGGTTGCCTCATCATTTCCTGTTTGCATCCTCAGCTCTTCTAGCTCTTTCGTAACTACTGCTTCATAGTAAGTTCCCTCCATTGAACTTGAGTGGGCTCTCTCCTCACTGGACGGTACAAGCTCTTCCATTGGTCTCTCCAGGTCCGCTCTCCTCCTTCCCTTGCTGCTTGCTGCTCTGGAGTCTGACCTCCAAGGACAGCACCCACTGGCTTCTTGGCCTCTGACTTCCATTTGGGTTTAGCTGTTAGAGAGTCCCAGAAGGAGACCAGAGAGAAGGAGAGTGAGACGGGGATTTATTGCCCTGGCCGCCCCTTGTGGCTGGACTATGTCCTTGCCCAAGTTCACTGCTCCTCTCAAACAGCCCTCTGTCCACGCCGCTCTCCTCTGGGTGTGGTAAGTGCTCCCTCGCCTTCCCCACAACCCCTTAAGGCCTGGAAGTGGTAACAGCTCTGCTGTCGCTGACCCTGGGCACCACCTGCGCTCCCTCGGACCAGTGCCGCCTCCCTCTCGCTGGGCTCCTGCTTCCCATCTCTGCACCTCATGTTTCTCACGTGCAGACACTGGAGCTCTTCAGAGCCCAGAGCACTGCTTGCAAGATGGCAGGCCCAACTGCCCCTTTAAGCTTTTTTTGTGCTGAATGGTCTTTCTCTGTGAAATTATGATGATGGCTGGTAGAAATTGATTTTTTAAAAATGGATCATGATAAAATAATGCAAAGTTGACCATATTAACCACTTTTAAGCGCACAGTTCATTGGCATTTAGTACATTCACATTGTGTGCAGCCACCACCGCCATCCATTTGCAGAATTCTTCCGTCTTCCCAAACCGAAGCTCATCCCCATTAAACACCAACTCCCCACCCCCTCCCCCAGCCCCTGGCAATCACCATTCCACTTTCTGTCTCTATGAATTCGACTTCTCTAGGGGCCTCATATGAGTGGGATCATACAGTATTTATCTTTTAGTGACTGACTTATTTCGCTGACCAGGACATCCTCAAGATTCATCCATGTTGTAGCATGTGTCAGAACTTCCTTCTTTTTTAAGGCTGAAGTTTCCAGGAAATTGATTTTCTGGATGTCCTTACTTTGCAAAACAAAAAGTGAGCAATCCAACGGCAGTTACCCAAACACTTCTGAAGTGGCCCTGGCCTATGAACTCACGTGTCTGGCTCCCGCTGGACCTCACAGTGGAATGCAGCCTCCTGGTGCCATGTTGCAGGTCCTCGTGACCCTGGCCCTTTCCAGCTCCTCTTGACGAGTGTGTGGTGGGTCATGTTTTCTCATTATTCCTTAGACACCACCCACAGGTCCCTACCTCCACGTACCCTCACATTCATTCTTACTTTTCTCTCCCTATAGAATCTTTCTACATTTTCCTAATTAACCTCATCCTAGTCTTGCCAGGCCATGTCCTCCCAAGGAAGCCTGATGCAGCCCAGGCCCCCCCTAAAGTCCCCCCTCGTGGTTCCCACCACTTCTCCATCCTTGACTTCTGCTGTTCCTGCATGTTCGTCTCCCCGAGGGGGCTACAAGCACCTGACCCTCCCCTTTCTCATTTATCCCCCTGCAGTGAGTTCCTGGTGGCTGTCCGCGGGCCAGGTGTTGTCCCAGGTACTGAGGATACAAACATGAAACAACCCCCAGGTCTGATTTCACACAGAGGCCAAAGGCCCTTACGTGAGGCCTCGTAGGAGAAGGGCTGTGACCTTCCCGACCATTAGCCTAGCTCCTCAGAAACATTTTTGTTTATATTTCCAGGTCCTCAGGTGGGTCCCAGTTCAAGGCCCGGAGCCGCATTAAGGCTAACTCGTATTTCACCTCTATCTGTGTTATGGTCTGAATGTTTGTGTTCCCCTAAATTTATACCTTATAACCTAACCCCCAAAGATGATGGTATTATGAGGTGGGGGTTTGGGAAGGTGCTTAGGTCATGAGGGTAGAGCCCTTATAAAGGGGATTAGTGCCCTTAAAAGAGACCCCACAGAGATCCCTGACCCTTCTGCCATGTGAGGATACAATGAGAAGTCTCTGATCCAGAAGAGGGCTCTCCTCCGACAACACTGGCATCCTGACCTCGGACCTCCAGCTCTAGGACTGTGAGAGATGAGTTTCTGTTGTTTATAAGCCACCCGGTCTACGGTAGTGTCTTATGGCAGCCTGAACAGACTAAGACAATACATAGAATCACATATTGCCTACTTTTATAGGGGATATTGAGGAAAACTCTCCTGAATTCTTGGTTCCCACTGGGCAGAGGTTCTACAGGATGGGATATCAGATGACAGCATGACTGATTCACAAGGTAGGGTAGAAGCGTGGGATGGTCTCACTTTGCATCTGAACAGGAGACCTCAAGAGTTGAGCAAAGGGGAACACTGTCCCCAGTTTGAAAAGAAAGTTCAGGTCACATGCCCTGCTCTCTTTGATTTCCCAAAGGCCCTGAATCTGCCAAGTCCGTGTTTCCTTAGCAGTGTACACACGGCATCCGGTTATTGAGTTCCCAAAGGGCAAGCTGAATCATCCTTACACAACGGAAAGCGAGTCCATGGCTCTGTCCATCTGACCCTCTGAGGTGGACCTGAGCCAGACTCACCCTCTGAACTGCCCCTGGACTGGTGCAGTAGCCCCACCCCTCACCCACAATGCAGGCCTGTGCAAGCACCCACTCCCCACCCGGCCCCTCAGGGGACTGCAGAAAGCGCAGGGAGAGGCTGCCTCTGTCGGGCGCATCCTCCATCCATGCTCACTCAGTGGTAGCTCTTCCAAGGCAGGGTCCATGAAGGCCTCTGGGGTACCAGATGCAGCAGGGCTTGTCCCTGCCTCTGAGGCTTGTAGTTGAGAGAAAGAGGCAGACGAGCCTATGCCAAGGTATATTAGAGTGATCTGTGCTGCGAATGCGGACATTCCCAAGGGGGAGGGCTGGGGAATGCCCAAGCCAAGCACAAGCAAGGCTGGGAAGATGAAGCGCGGGCCTTCCTAGCACAGGAGCTGCCCAGGCAGAGGTCGGGGCATGATGACACACTCAGAGAATGTCACATAATTCTGCCGCTCTCAGACCTCAGGCCCCATTTCTCTATCTGATCCATGAAAGGATAGACTCAGAAGTCACACGCTGTCACTTCCACCACACTGCATTTGTTAGAAGCGGGTCACTGAGTCCAGCCACTCTCAAGGGCTCAAGCAATTGTCCTCCTCCTCTTGAAGGGCGGGGGTGTCAAAGGGCTTTTAAACTGTCACAGTCCACGCAGCAGCCACAAATTGTTTACAATCCTCCCACATGCAAAACATAGGCGATCTTCCAAACGCCCCCAAAACACCCATCCTGCTATAGAATGAGCTCAAAATCCAGAATCTCTGCATCTAAATCAGATTCCAATGTGGGAGGCTCCTTGGGCATATTTCCTTCAGTGTAACTCCTTGAGTACAGTCGCTCTCAATCTGAGGACCTGTGAATTCAAGGGACAAGTTCTCTGTACCCCTGCCCCCCTGCCACACCCAACATACAATGGTGGGACAGGCATAGCATGACCACTACAGGTATTCCTGTTCAAAGGGGACAGGGATGGGAGGCACACAGCTGTCACTGGTCCATTGCAGTTCTGAAATCCAGCTGGCAGATGTTGGAACTCTTGATTAGAACTCAGTCTGACTCTGGCCTGAGAGTGGCCCTCCCTGCTCACGGTCCCACCCTCTGGATTCTTGGTTCTGTTCTCCAAGTCATGCTTCCATTTCCATGCACTGGAGCCCACACTGCATCTGTGTGCTTTCTCAGGCTGCTCTTGTCAGTAGAATTCGGGGGAAGGGCAGTTCCAGAGGCCTCTTTCCATTTTGTACTCTCTCTGATCCTTTCAGTCCTAGCTGGCACTGTTTTGCCGATATAATTCTTTTAAAGGGTTTAGATATTTTCTGTGAATCTTACTGAGGTTCACTCCTTTAAACTACTGGCAAATCCACGCATCTCTTTGAGATAAGCCCTTCTCTACCTTGGGCTTTTGCTGAATGACAACTTTAAGCTTCCTGGAAGTCCTACTGTTTAACCGAATATTCTGAGGCGTCAGTTTTTATTTTTTTGAGAATTTAACAAAGGATTTTGCAGCCACACCCTTGGCTTCATCTTTAGACCATCATTTCCTGGTGTGGCCCTGCATGACATCTTTGCTTGGAAGCTGTTGTTAATTTTAGCATCATTTAACATCTGGAAAAGCTGGTAATTTTCAAAACCAGCAAGTTCTGGTTCCTTTCCATTTCAAAGTCCTTCTTTTGGCTTATCTCTCTTCTCTCACATTTTACAACAAGCAGCAAGAAGAAGCCAGGAGGCACCTTCAACATTCTGCCTGGGAGTTCCTTCAGCCAGATCGCCCAGTTCATGTGGCACATTTTCTGCTTTCCACGTTATTGCAGGTGGCAGCATTAGGAAAGTTTCAGCTTAAACTTCCCTCCTCTCCCGCCGCAGACACCTCCTAAGACTATGGTTTCTTCTCTGCTTTCCTAACAGCTTTTTGGGGTGTCCAGTCTCCAAGCCATTCTTGCAGCGGCTCCCGTCACCTGTCATTCTGCCCTCTCTACCCCAGCTGCCAAGTTCCCCTCACGCCACTTCCGCATTCCAGGCCCCTGACACATCACTATTCTACACATTTTATTGAGCACCCTCTAAACGGAGGCACCTCACCAGGTGTTGGGGAATTCCGGGACTAAGATAGTCTTCGCCCTCATGTTCTAGTGGGGGAGACATGTCAATCAAATCGTCCCAGAAGAGGTGATAAAACTGCAATGGAGGGGGATGCATGAAGGAAAATTAAAGGCCCCTCTATGGCCTGTAACAAGGCGATCTGTCCCAGTGGGTGTGTGGTTGCAGAAAGCTGCCCTGAAGATGTGCCATTTTAGTAGGAACCTCCTAAAGTATAAAAGGGGTTCCCTTGAGAAGAAAGACGAATACCTTGTTGGAAGCTCGTGAATCAAGAAGGTCAGTGTCCATGAGGGCCAGTGAGGAGAGCTGGTGGCTGAAGAAGAAAGAACAACGGGACAACTCCTGAGAATGAGCTACAGGGCTCCTCAACAGGACAGGTCCCTTCAGTCTTGGTTCACCCTGGCAGGTGGACGTTAAGCCACTCAACAAGCACTTAGCACCTACTCTGTGCTCTCACTGTGTATTGGGGATACAACTGTGAGTACAAGCCCTCAAAGAGCTTGTCGTCTAGTGGGAGAGACAGAAAATAAACACATAACGAGGCAGAAAATGTCAGATACAAGTGAGCGCCATGAAGGAAATAAAACAGAGAGACATGCTGGGCAGTGGCTGAGGGACTTCTCTAGATTGTGTGGCCTGGAACAGCTCTTCTGAGGCTCTGCATCAATGTTCGATCCATGAGCTGCAGGGTGAAGGGACAGAGGGCCTGCCTCTGGAGTAGCCGAGGGAAGAGCGGCAGGCAGAGGGGAGCGCAGGGGCCCTGAGGCTGGAGCCAGCTTGATGTGTTCAGGCACTGCACAGAGGTCCAGGCGGCTGGACCTCGGGGTCCAGAGAGCCTCAAAAGAAGCAAGGCTGGCAAGGGCACGGAGGAGCCCCACGTCCTTGCGGCAGGAATGGCATTCCAGGCGGAATGGGGCACCTGGACAAAGGCTTCAGGCAGCAATCAACGCACAGGTTCATCCCTCTGTTTTCTTTTTTCTTGACTTATCTTGGCCCAGAGGGGGACAGATAACCCTGCCTGAGCCAGGACTGGTCAGGTTGGGAGTCGGGGGATGGGTCAGCGGCGCACAGACCAGGTGGAAGGGATTGAGGAGAAGGCGACTCGCCGAGAGAGGCGCGACGGGCGCGGGGCAGGCAGAGCTCCCACAGGCTGCTACTGTCGCCGCCGGCCGCATGTTCCTGGAGGCAAGGATCTCGCTTGGCTCTGCCCGCAGCACGTGGTAGGAACTTGGACACTATTCTTGAGTGAAGGAATGAAGGAATGAGTGAGTGAGTGAGTGAATACACCCGGTTTGGCGAGGGTTTCCTCTTCGCAACTCAGCCTTGCAGGTGCTCATAACCACCGGGCCCTTGGGCCTTTACAAAGCCCTGTGAATTCTGGAAGGCTCCATAGCAAGTCTTCTCGCCTGAAAACGCAAGCAGGCCCAGAGAGGGTGAGCGACGCGTCCAGCCACTGTCGCACAGCCCGTGAGAGCCTGCCCCACCCCCACCCAGCGTGACTTCCCGCGCCCGGCGCCCCCGCCCCTCGCCTCCGCCCGAGGTCCCTCCCCTCCCGGCTCCGGCCCCGGCCCTGAACTGGCGGGGCGGTCCCACCTCTCGCCGCCCAGGGCCGGCCCGCGCCAGTCCCCGTGCCCAGATCGCGGCTCTCAGAGGTCCGTGTGGCCGCAGCGCCTGCTTCTCCTCCCGCTCGGTGAGTCCCGCGCCCCAGGCAGGGAGGCTGCCCCGGCTCGCGGCTGGGGGCTGGGGGCTCCGGGCTCGGGAATCCTGGGGTGCCTGGGGGTCCACGAGCCTCGCCGCCTGGATGCCGGGTCTGGGGTCTGGGGTCTGGGGTCTGTGTCCGGGGTTCCCCTTGGAGCAGCCCAGCCTCCAGCTAAAGGACGGCGACGTGGAGGCGGGGCCGGCCGAGGAGCGCGCGGGCAGGGCGGGCTGGGCGTCGTCGGCCCGGCTTACAGCAGAGGAAACTGAGGCTCAGAGAGAGAGAAAGGGACAAGCGGAATGTGGCGCGGGTGGTCCGTGGCGCAGGGTCAGATTGCGCCCCTCGGCCGTCAGTCCCCTTTCCGAAGTCTCTCACCGACTCTCGGGACTGGGGAAGATCCCCCTGATTGGTCAAATCTGGGGGCCGGGCACGAGGGCGCTGCGACTGTGACTGGAGAGCTCCCAGCCCCCGCCGCTCGCCCCGGAGGAGCCCGGATTTGACCCCCGCCGTGGTCCTGGGGTTGTGCTGCCCGGCGCGCAGGCCCGGGTCCCTGTCGCGGCCCCCGCCGGCGTCCTGGGGGTGGGGGCTGGGGTCCCTGCGGGCGGCGGGGGCGGAGGCCGAGGGCAGCGGGGACTCGCGGACTTGAGGTCAAGAGGTCGGGCTCTTGCGTCAGCTGACTTCGTTTGCTCCCCACTTCCTCCTTCTTCATGACCTTGGGCAAGTTTCTTAAGCTCTGAATCTCAGTTTCTTAGGCTGAAACCAGAAAGGCGATAAATAATGGTCCCTAGCTCCTAAGGTTCCTTGAGAGTTCCATGAAATTCTACCCGGCGTCTGGCCCCGGAGGCCTTCCGCGAGTGGTGACTGCTGTCCTTCCGAAGAGACGAGTAAACCCTGCAGAGCAGTGTTGGGAGACACTCCTGTGACATCTCTTTTAGAGACAAGGAAGTTGAGGCTCAGAGATGGAAGCGATTGCCCAGGACTGAAGCCAGGTCTGGAGGCTCAGGAGGTCCAGGTGGCCTGCACTGTGGCGTCTCCTGTGCCTGGAACGTGGAGAAGACACCAGATGGGGCATGACCCCTGCTCCCCCAGGGGACCCCGGCTGTGGCTGTGGGAGGGACAAGCGGGCTACTTGCCAGGTGCCAAGCCGAACGGGCTGATCGCAGGAGAGGAGTCAGCTTTGGGCCTCTCGAGGGCAGCTGGGGCAGGGGCGCCTTGTGGCTGCGTAAAGGCTGACTGCGGGCAGCTCCCCTCCAGAGCTGCGTTCTCCCGTGGGTCGCCGGGCCCCGGAACAGGCGGCAGCCCAGCCCGGGCAGGTCTGGTGGTTGGGTCCTGGGGAGCCAGGCCTAGGCTGCGGGTCTGGGGCAGGAGGCCTGGGAAGCCCTAACAATCCTGCTGCTGTCACGGCAGCCCCACAGGGACCCCACACACTGCCCTGGGCAAGGACAGTGAGCTGTGCCCAAGGTCCAGATTGGCTGAGGCTCCTCCCACCGCTCCTGTCCTCGCCAAACTCAGCTTCTCTGGACTGTGACGACAGCCCCAGGGCTGGCTACCCTGACTGCCTCCCCGCCTCCAGTGTGATGCATTTTGTACCCCCTTACTTTTTATTTATTTATTCTTGCTGAGGAAGATTGGCCCTGAGCTAACATCTGTGCCAGTCTTCCTCTATTTTTGTATGTGGGTCGCTGCCACGGCACCACTGATGAATGGTGTAGGTCCGCACCCAGGATCTGAATCTGAACCGTGTGTACCCCTTTATTTTTTCACAATACATGTCCCACATGGAAAAACAGAACATTCTGGTAAGAAAAAAATAATTACAGTCAAACCTCCAAACCCAAAAAACCCTACGCAGTGACTTAATATTTCTGTGTGAATCTTTCCAGGTTTTCACACTCTGAGTACACAGACACACACACCTGTGCACGTGCACACACATGCCTTAAAAAATTATAGTGGTTTGTTACCTGTTAGGGTGTTTTAGCTTATTTAATCCTGGACGTGAAACAGGGTAAGCTGCCGTTTCTGAGGGCTGCATGGCTTACACAGCGTGAACGTACCATAATTTTAAAATGCTCATGTCTTCATTTGCTTATCCAAGTGTAATTTAGAAGTGAAATTGCTGAGACAGAAGAAAAGAAGTATTTTTAGAATTTTGATACTTACTGCCAAATTTTCTTTCAGGGAGTTTGCCCCAGTTTGTTGTCCCTTCGGTGGTGTATGAAACTGTTTGTTTTCCCATAACTGAGCCTACGTGAGATATTTATATTGTCTTAATACCTTCCAATTTTATAAAAGGAAAATAGTCTCTTGTTTCATTATGCATTCCTTTGGTTACTTGTGATTTGAATGTGTTTTTACTTGTTTAATGGCTTTTTTTCTTTTGGCAGATTGCTTCAGAGACATGTGAAATCTTCACATATGAAAATGTGTCACTCGCTTTCTTCTGCAACTCTCTAGTGTCAGCGTGTAGAGCCCAATACTTCCCAGTATTTTCTAAGACTTTAACGTTTTCTTCCTACCTTTGATTTTTAAGTAGTATTTATTTTCAACCTACTTGAACTATATTTTGGAATAAAATGTGAACTATAGAGCTAGATTGATTTGTTTATTTAAGTTAATAAATTAGAATGGCCCTTCTTTTGTTTTGGTATCAGTAATTTGTGTCTTCTCTGTTTTTTCCTTAGTTAGCCTAGCTAGAGGTTTGTCAATTTTGTTCATCTTTTAAAAGAAACTTCTTTTGGTTTTGTTACTTTATCTATTGAGTTCCTGTTTTCAGTTTCATTGATTTCTGCTCTAATTCTTATTATTTCCTTTCTTCTGCTTACTTTGGGTTTAATTTGCTATTTTTATTCACTTTCCTAAGGTGGAAACTTATTTTATTGATTTTAGATGGTTTTTCTTTGATTATATAGGCATTCAATGCTATAAATTTCCCTCTATGCACTGCTTTAGCTGCATCCTACAAATTTTCATTTCATTTAAACTATTTAAAAATTTCTCTTGAGATTTCTTTGACCCATGTGCTGTTCAAAGTGTGTGTTTGATCTCCACATATTTTGGCTATCCAGATATCTGTTATGGATTTCTAGTAATCCCGTTGTGGTCTGAGAGCATATTTTGTATGAGTTCTGTTTTTTTTAATTTGTTATGATGTAGTTTATGGTCTATCATGGCGAAGGTGACATCTGAACTTGAGATGGATGTATACTCTGCTGTTGTTGGGTGAAGCATTCTATGAATGTTAATTAGATCCAACTAACTGATGGTGCTGTTCAGTGCATCTGTGTCCTTACCGATTTTCCAACCATTGGATCTCTTGAGGAGTGGGGATTGATAAAGGAGTGTTGTAGTTTCCAGCTAAATTAGTGGATTTGTCTGTTTCTCCTTGCAGTTCTGTCAGTTTTTGCTTCAGATGTTTTGATGCTCTGTTGTTAGGCACATTCACATTAGGGATTGTTAGATCTTCTTGGAGCATTGAACCCTGTACCTTTATGTAGTGCCCCTCTTTATCCCTAATAATCTTCCTTGCTCTGCAGTCTGCTTTGTGTGAAGTTAATAGAACTACTTTATACTTATTTTGATTAGTGTTAAGAGGGTATATCTTTCTCCATCTGTTTGCTTTTAATCTATCTGTGGTTTTCTATTTAAAGTGGGTTTCTTGTAGACAACATATAGTTGGGTCTTGATTTTTTTTTTTTTTTTTTTTTGGTGAGGAAGATTGTCCCTGAGGTAACATCCATGCTAATCTTCCTCTATTTTGTATGTGGGACACCACCACAGCATGGCTTGATGAGTGGTGTATAGGTCCGTGCCCGGGATCTGAACACACAAACCCTGGGCCAACAAAGTGGAGTGTGTGAACTTAACCAATATGCCACTGGCCTGGCCCTGGGTCTTGATTTCTTACCCATTCTGATAGTCTCTGTGTTTTAGTTGGTGTATTTAGACCATTGATATTTAAGTGATTATTGATATAGTTGGATTGATAGCTAACATATTTATTACTGTTTTCTAACCATTGCCCTTGTTCTTTCTGCCTTTTCTTTCCTTTTTGATCTTTTACTCTTTTTCTGACTTCTCTGGTTTTAACTGAGCATTTTGTATGATACCATTTTCTTTTCTTTCTTAGCACATCAATTATACTTTTTTTTTGCTTTTTTTAATGGATGCTCTAGAGTTTACAACTAATCCAAGTTCACTTTCAAATAACACTATACTGTTCTATGACTAGTGCGGGTACCCTGTAACAGGATATTCCTGATTCCTCCCAGTATCATCACTACTGTCATTCATTTGTCCACAAGCTAGAATCACTGAATAAGTTGTTGCTATTATTATTTTGAACAAACTTAGCCATTTTCCAACACATTGAATAATCCTGCCACAAGCACAAGGGGATTTTTCTCTGGTCTTCTGAGAGAGACTGGCAGGGCTCCCAGAGGTAAAATTCACAAAAGTCTGGGGGCCCCTGCACCCCTTTGCCAAGACTGGCCTCCCCTGCAGCTTTTAGCTCTCAAGCTTGTCCACACTGAGTTTCTAGAAATTCATCAATTACATTTTTAGTTTTCCTCCCCTGTTCCTGGCTCCCCCAGAATTTTCTGCTCTTGTGAGATGTGATTCTGTCTCTGCCTGTCTGTCTCTCCAATTTTAGGGCAGAAGTTTGTCCTGTGTTCTCAGTTCTTGATGGATCTGAGAAGGGTTGCTGATATCCTCTTTGTTCTACTTTTTCTTATTGTGAAGACAGCTGTGACAACTTCCAAGTTCCTTACATGCCATACTGGAAACTGAAAGTCCTGTTCTAATTGTTTTCTTTTGGAAGTTGTTAGACATATTCCAACACACTGAGTAACCCATCCTTCTCTCGTGATCTGAAATGCCAACTTTATCATATGAAACGTTCCCCTCTCTCACTCTCTTTTTCTCTCTTCATATGTGTATGAACACATACATTCATATAGATGTGGTTAAGAAAATGGCCAATCTTCCTT